AGACTAGGTATAATTATATGATTAGTGATATTAATGGAGCCGTCTCTGAGCTCCCGTCGCCACGAAATAGGTGGTATGTAGCTGGGTACTAAGTCTGCAGGAAGTGTTGTCCTGTCAACATGGCCTTGACGCTGAACGATAACTTCAGTACATTAGACGGTACATCAGAAGCCGAGAGCATTCAACGAAGGAACAGCGGTGGAGATGTATTGCCAGCAGTCTGAAACTTGTGCACTGATTCTGCTCCTTCCAAAGAAAAGGTGTTTTCGTGGCTGAAAAAGGGCTGACAGTGGGGTGGGCAGTCAGCGCTAATCTGTAAAGAGTCGAGATAGGTGTAATCACGTGCTTTCGTCACCGAGACGCGACGCGTCTTCCCCACCGCATCCGAGCGATGTGGCAAACTTAGAGTGATGGGATGTATACACACGAGCCAGTGTTACACGAGGCGATCGATCTGCGCAATTTTCCTTCCAATCCTTGCCGTCCTTAGACTCTGTCCCTGAATTTGCCACCGGAGGCGTGAACGCGCGACAGACTATCGGCGCGAAAGAGCCAGGGGGTACATCTGCCCTTCCACATTTAGTGCTTCTTGTCATCTCACCCCTCCGTCGAGGTTATAGTCTTTCATTCAATCTGTTCATCAGTCCTGTGTTCGTTGCGCGTTTCTCGATCTCAGTCGCAAATTCGCTTGCTTTTCCTTTCCTTTAATCGATCATAATGGCACCTCGGCGATCAACCCGCAAATCGACCGGTATCGCGAATGACGTCGCCACCGCGCCTTCACCAGCGTCTGCAACTGGTATGTATAGGCTGTTTCCGGCTCTCACTTATGGATAAGCAGTCATTTTTGTTCCTCAGTCTAGTGCTAACGCGGTCACAGCCCTAGTAGATTCCCCCATGGATGATAGTCGCCACAAACAGAAGCGCACTCGCGCCTCTAGATCCTTCGTACCAAACTCTTCCGACCACGAAACGGACTCAATCGAAGTCGAAGCGCCCCGAAAACCCGCCAACAGTCGCCGCGTCCTCAAAGAAGTATTGATTCCCACCAAGTCCAAGAAAGCGCCCGCCACTCGCGGAAGGCTAGCAGGACTCAACGCAGAACAAGCAGAGCAAGAGAGCTCAACTGGCTCGCCGTCTTTGGAGAACTCGGATTATGAGACACCGGGAACCAGCATCTCGACCACACCAGCTGCCTCAGTCAATTGTGGCAAGATGCCCGCCCGTAGCCGGCTGAACAAGGCTACAACGCCTTCGCAAAGCGCCTCATCTAAGCGATCTCGCAGCGCTGTACTAGACTCTGATTCTGAAGACATGACACTCGACATGGATGCTGAGATTGCTCTACAAATGCAGTTAGAGGACGAAGAGGATTCGCCACACAGCAAGCGTCAGAAGATTGGGACGGATGAAGACGAAGACATGCCATCTGAAGATGAGCCAGTCGCACCTTCGCGTCGCAAGAAAGCGCCCTCGTATGTCGGCAAGGGCAAGGGCAAAGCCAAGGTCGAAGAGATTCTAAGCGACGAAGACCGGGATTCATTGGTAGATGAGCTGTCCTCACCCCCATCTTACAAAGGCAAGGGTAAGGGCAAGGCTCAAGAATCTTCAACAAAGCGTGGTCGCTCTGCGCGTTCTAGTGCGAAGAAGAAGGGCACCTTCATAGAGGAGGACTTCCTTGATGACGATGAGTCCGATGGCGGAGAGTTCCGTCCTGACGACGCAGATGACGCCGATTCTCTGCTCAGTGATATCGAAACACCCATGGCTAGCGATAGCGACGAGGAGCCTCTGATGACAACAAGTGCGCGTGTGAAGAAGATTGTCGCGGCAAATCCTAAAGCAGCTGGAGGCCGCAAGAAGAAGCTCACTCGAGGTGAGAAGGAGGATGCAGCTGGTCGTCGGGCAAGGTTCGCACACATCGCGGACAAGTGGGAGCGAAAGCGCGCCATGAATCGTGAGCGAGCAGAGCAACAGCACCCAAAGCTGCGCACTATGTGGGATGATCTGAAGAAGATTCCGATCCTCGAGACTCTGAAGGCAGAGCAGCCTGCATCAATCACCCGGCGATTAAAACCATTTCAACTGGAGGGCCTCAGCTGGATGGTTCGGCAAGAGAAGACTCACTACAAGGGTGGGCTACTCGGAGATGAGATGGGTATGGGCAAGACTATTCAGGCTGTCTCTCTGATCATGTCTGACTACCCTGCGAAGCAGCCGACGCTGGTTTGTGTTCCGCCAGTCGCTCTCATGCAATGGTCCAATGAGATCCGCGAATACACAGACAACAAACTCAAGGTCTTGGTGTATCACGGCACGAATGCTAAATGCAAGAAGATGTCTATTAAGGAACTGAAGTCCTATGACGTAATCATGGTCTCGTACAACTCTCTGGAATCACTTCACCGCAAAGAAACCAAAGGATGGTCTCGTGGTGAGGACATCATCAAGGAAGCATCAGCACTTCACGCTATCCATTACCACCGCCTGATTCTGGACGAAGCGCACAGCATCAAGTCCCGCAACACCGGTGTAGCCAAGGCTTGTTTTGCACTTACTAGTAACTACAAGTGGTGCTTGTCTGGTACGCCAGTCCAGAACCGCATCGGAGAGTTCTTCTCCCTTCTTCGCTTTCTGGAGGTTCGCCCTTTTGCAGACTACTTCTGCCGTTCGTGTGATTGCGAGAAGCTACACTGGGCTACCGACGATGACCACATGTGTGTTGCTTGCAACCATGGTGCATCTGAGCACATTTCTGTATTCAACCAGGAGCTTCTGAACCCGATCACTGGTGATGACGTCCAGCTTCGCGAAGAAGCTTTGACGAAGCTTCATCTGATCACTGCTCGCATCATGTTACGGCGTATGAAGCGCGATCACACCAACTCGATGGAGCTTCCAATGAAGGATATCATCATTCACAACGAGTTTTTCAGTGAGGTAGAGCGCGACTTCTCAACGTCGATCATGTCGAACTCCTCGCGCAAGTTCGATACGTATGTTGCGCAAGGTGTCATGCTAAACAACTACGCCAACATCTTTGGTCTCATCATGCAAATGCGACAGGTCGCTAACCACCCTGATCTGTTACTGAAGAAGAAGGCGGTTGAAGGTGCTGGCAACGTCTACGTATGTAACATCTGCGATGAGCCTGCCGAGGATGCGGTACGCTCTCACTGCCGTCATGAGTTCTGTCGCGCTTGCATCAAGGACTTCATGGATACCTGCGAAACATCCGGTATGGAAGCAGACTGTCCTCGCTGTCACATCGCTCTTGCCATCGACTTTGAGCAGCCTGAGCTCGAGCAAGATGAGGACTCTGTCAAGAAGACCTCTATCATCAACCGTATCAAGATGGAGAACTGGACGTCTTCCACCAAGATCGAGATGTTAGTATACGACCTCTATAAGCTTCGCAGCAAGAAGCAGACACTCAAGTCCATCGTCTTCAGCCAGTTCACGTCCATGTTGCAACTCATTGAATGGCGTCTACGTCGCGCCGGTTTCAACACGGTCATGTTGGATGGTAGCATGACACCCGCCCAACGCCAGAAGAGCATCGAACACTTTATGACAAACCCAGATGTTGAGGTCTTCCTCGTCTCTCTTAAGGCTGGCGGTGTCGCTCTCAACCTTACCGAAGCTTCCAGGGTATTCATCGTTGACCCGTGAGTACTATCCTTAGGCATATTCTGTGACAGCCTGCTAAAACAATTTAGATGGTGGAATCCAGCAGCCGAGTGGCAGTCTGCCGATCGATGCCATCGTATCGGCCAACGTCGCCCTTGTGTGATTACTCGCCTTTGTATCGAGGATAGTGTAGAGTCGCGTATGGTCGCGCTGCAAGAGAAGAAGGCAGCTATGATTGCTGGCACTGTGAACAACGATAAGGTTGCCATGGATCGCCTCAGTCCTGAAGACTTGCAGTTCTTGTTCCGTGGTACCTAGTCGTGCACGGGTTTTGTGTCTTCATAGGAGTTCGGGGTATTACGGGGTGTATGGGTAGAGAGTTCAGGGCTGGCACACTACAGTCATGAGGCGTTTGTCGGTCAGCGGCGCGTAAGTTTGTATTTCTGCTTGAGGTTTCGGGACTACTAGCGTTGCACATACGGAGTACAGTCCAAGCGGGATCCGACGCATGGCGCAGTCGTAATTTTCGACACCTTCTCGATAGATTTATACCCGTTTACATCATAGCATAATACAGTGTCGGACATCCGCGTCTCGCCGTGTATCGCCGTGTGTAGCTGTATAAAACATTTGGTCCACTATCTTGTGCTAGTCATGTGTGCTGCTGATGCGAGATCTGTATAGGCAGTTAGCGTGGTGAGCGCAGGGATGACGTCGATCTTCAGCTGTTCATCCTGGACTTGCTGGTGCATCCTGTAGTACAATCTCAGGCACAACCATATTGGGCGTAACCGGATAGATACATAGAGATGCAACATGTTACAGTCTTCAAGATGTTCGCGTCAGATCATTTACTGGATACCAACATCGAATAATTCAAGAACTACTGTCGGGCATTTCTTTGTTTGCACTCTGACTGCTATTATCAGCGCAGCAATCATAACAAAAGTACTTTCAATAAACTTGGTACATTCTCAAAAACACTCCAGACTCACATCAATCACTACACGAAGCGTATCCGCGGAACCGAGGAGATGTCAACGAAGCCATATTATGGTGGTGTTTGTGGTACGTAATTTTACGTAAAGCCCAACCTGTTGCGCGTGAACCTCCAACTCAGATCGCCGCGCATGTGCCAGGTCAACGTCAGGGTAAATGCGCGTGTTGTGCAATTCGAATCGTGAAGGAGCGGCCAAAGGCACCGTTCTTTAACGCTGGATCCGGGAATAAATGGCGCGGTGAGGCACTTGGTTGCGCAAGAGCTTTTGCGGTCCGCTCCCGAGGCCTTGAAACTTAGTTTCTTATAGACGTCGTCGACCTTGTTTGTACTTTGTGCATAGACTCCGTCTCTTTCGATCTTTCTGATCACCATGAGTGTGTTTTCGGGTGCAAGAGAATGGGACCTCGACATCGATCGCTACCTTAATCGTGTCATTCCTCCTTCGCCCCTGTACAAGCTTCCGACGTCGATATCAAGGTTCCTCGGTTACAGAAAAGAATCGCGACAGGATGTTGGGAACATACTTGGAGCGTTCTGGTCGTTGCTGGGCGCATTCTGTGGTCTGGCGGTTGTGGCAGCAGTCTTCAACAATACGGATAGTATACAACGGCATCAGCCACCAGCGCTGATCGCTTCATTTGTACGTTACTCATGAATGAGGCCGTGGCAGTGTGTTGTGCTGACTACACGCACAGGGTGCCTCTGCAATTCTCGAGTACAACTCTATACGTTCACCTCTCGGCCAACCCCGCAATGCCCTGCTAGGCCACGGCATCTCCGCGCTTATTGGCGTCGGCGTGTCGAAGTTGTTTCAATACCACCCAGAGTATGAGTCAATAAAATGGATCGCGGGTGCTATAGCATGCGGCTGCGCGTCTGCTGTCATGCTTTTGACCAACACCGTACATCCTCCAGGCGGCGCATCCGCAGTGCTCGCCGCCACAGACCCGGTCATTACGGCCATGGGTTGGTATTTTGTCGGGCTTGTTCTCTGGGGCGCCACCCTTATGGTTGTAGTCGGGCTGATCATCAACAACATTCAGAGGCAGTTTCCAATATATTGGTGGACCCCTGTGGATTTACGCAAAGCGAAGATTGAAGACGAAGAGGTAGTGCCAGACGGGAGAGGCGGATTGGAACCAAAGAAGAGTGCGGAGCAACAGCGTTACGACCAAACAGGAGACATAATAGAAATCAACGGTGCAGAAGTCGTACTACCCGACGATATGAGTCTGAATGGGGAAGAGACAAGGGTATTAGAGAAGCTACGAGAGAGGTTACGAAAGAGAGTAGACGTTAGGAGAGAAGGAGGGGACATGGAGACAAAAGAGGCAGACAGTGGAAGGAGTAGTGCTGAGTCCACTATGGTTCTGAGTAATAGTGGGAGCAGTCAGACTGGTATATAGCACGGGCTTATCACTGTTGAGTATGGTGAAGATAAGAACCCGCGTATGACGATCGTGGCTTTTCCGAGGAGTATCCACAACACTCAACAACTAAATACATGATATCCAATACCAACGACAGTCAAACTTGATAATTGTTCCTCGTACCGTGGAAGTCTGAAGAGCGTAGATTTCCAATACACGAAAATCTTTCTCGGGAGACATGAGTCTGTCGACGCCTTGCCGGGAGGTGTATAGCGCAGTATTTCAGATAGAGAGCAAACTCGTATCAAACGCAGATACAAATGTTCTGTGTCCCACCAGACTCCAAGGCTGTCTGCGTGTCGCAAGGCCTAGTCTTCCAAAGAAACACACGTGCAGCGATGTCAGCGTGCAGCCTGACCGCCGAGCGCCTTACTTGCCCTATGATGATGGTGGGGGAGCGCTCATTGGCCGTGCGCAGCCTTCGCCACAAGTAAGAAAATTGATTCACAGGGTCGCATTGTTTGATCGGGCCTGACGATTTCTTATTCTTACATCCTCTCCTTCTACATCACCAGCAGCGCTTCAATACTCCACTCGTTTTTCCATCCGAGTGTTGCGCTCTGAAGAGAACCTGAAACAGAACCTTTGGGTATCGACAATCGATAAGAGACTTAGCGGGGCACAGATTGACGTTGTTCCCAACCCTACGAAATTTCCTCCTCCTTCCACCATCCCAGAGTCTTCACTCATACACCACTAAGACACCATGGTCTCCGCCTCGAAAGCTGCCCGCCAAGCGAAGCGCGCCGCTGACGGCGATGCGAAGCCCAAGAAGACGGCCACTTCCAAGTTGTCGTCCAAGGCCAACTCCAAGAATGCCTCCAAGGCCAACTCTGAGAACGGCGACGAGGCCGAGGACCTCGAGCTGAACGAGGAGGTCAAGAAGCTCACCATGCAGGAGGACAAGCACGGTCTGTCTGACCGTGTCACCACCGGTGTGCTCGCCTCGCTCGAGCAGTCGCGCGATGTCAAGATCATCTCTGCATCGCTCGTCTTCCACGGAAAAGTCCTCTTCAACGACTCCACCCTCGAGATCAACTACGGCCGACGATACGGTCTGTTGGGTGAGAACGGTTGCGGAAAGACCACTCTTCTCAAGGCTATCGACAAGCGCGAGTTCCCCTTCCCAGAGCACATCGACATTTACCTGCTGAACCAGGGTGCCCCCAAGACCGAGTTGGGTGCCTTGGAGTGGGTCGTCCGTGAGGCTGAGAACGAGTTGGCCCGTCTTGAGAAGCTGGCCGAGGACATTCTTGAGAAGGATGGTCCCGAGAGCCCTCTTCTCGACGACATCTACGAGGTATGTACCAGTCAGATTGAACCAAAGTAAACCTTATTAACCCTTTGCCAGCGTCAAGAAGACATGGACCCATCAACCTTCCATACCCGCGCATCTCTCATTCTCACTGGTCTCGGCTTCAACAAGAACACCATCAACAAGAAGACAAAGGACATGTCCGGTGGATGGCGTATGCGTGTCGCGCTCGCCAAGGCGCTGTTCGTCAAGCCCGCCCTCCTGCTGCTCGACGACCCCACTGCCCATTTGGACTTGGAGGCCTGTGTGTGGCTTGAGGAGTACATGAAGAAGTGGGAGCGCACTTTGGTTCTCGTGTCCCACTCCATGGACTTCTTGAACGGTGTCTGCACAAACATGATTGATATGCGTCAAAAGAAACTCCTCTACTACGGAGGTAACTACGACACATACCACAAGACTCGTACTGAGCAAGAGGTCAACCAGACCAAGGCCTACGAGAAGCAGCAAGATGAGATCAAGCACATCAAGAAGTTCATTGCTTCCGCTGGTACCTACGCCAACTTGGTCAGGCAAGCCAAGTCTCGACAGAAGATTTTGGACAAGATGGAGGCCGACGGTCTCATCGAGCCCGTTGCCGTTGACCGTGTCTTCACTTTCCGTTTCGCTGATGTCGAGAAGCTGCCACCACCTGTGCTTTCGCTCGACGATGTCACCTTCTCTTACTCTGGAGACTCAAAGGACAACCTGTACGAGAACCTCGACTTTGGTGTCGACATGGACTCTCGAACAGCTCTTGTCGGACCCAACGGTGTTGGAAAGTCGACTTTGCTCAACATCTTCACTGGAAAGCTTAGCCCCACATCTGGTGTCGTATCGCGCCACACTCACTTGAAGCTCGGTGTGTACAGCCAGCACTCTGCTGAACAGCTCGATCTCACCAAGTCTGCCCTCGACTTCGTCCGCGACAAGTTCCACCACATCAGCCAAGATCTTCAGTACTGGCGTCAACAGCTCGGCCGTTACGGTATGACTGGTGAGGCCCAGACCTCCAAGATGGCTACTCTGTCCGATGGTCAGAAGTCCCGTATTGTCTTCGCCCTGCTTGCTATTGAGGGACCCAACATGTTGTTGCTCGACGAGCCTACCAACGGTCTGGATATCCCAACCATTGACAGTTTGGCCGATGCCATCAACGCTTTCAGCGGTGGTGTCGTCGTCGTTTCTCACGACTTCCGGTATGTTCCTCGCTCGCCTAACACTGTAATAACCTACTAACAAACAACAGATTGCTCGACAAGATTGCGAAGGATATCATGGTCTGCGAACACAAGACCGTCCGCCGGTGGGACGGAAGCATTGGCGAGTACAAGAACCATCTCCGCAAGAAGATGGCATCGACTGGTGCTCTCTAAGCGGATTTTGGGAGTGTTTTCGCTAGTTACACGCGTCCTCCGAGCTGCGGAACGCAGGTACAACAAAAAAGTAATGGCCTTAGAGCAGGTTTTCAGGATACCTCTGCAGTAGGCCGGCAGCTCATCGCTACCTGCGTCAGTGTCGTTCTGCATGGGTAGAGACATCTGGATTATGCGTTATGATGCATTGGTTCTTAGAGGAGTTTTAGATTTGCCTTACGATCAGAATGATATCACATAGAAGCATATATTGTTGTTACCCTTGTTGTGAACACTGGCAACGTAGCTAGACGTCATGTTTGTGGTCGTCGCGTTGATGCATGCGCATAATCGGATAAGGGAGCGCTTGCATAGTCGTTTTGAGGGTAGGGAGTGCGTGTATGCGGCCTCCGGGTCGTAAAGTGCTCGGCACGTGCCGATTGGCGAGAGCTATGAGCGTGACGAACACCCCCGCAAGCTCCGCGGTAGTGGAGCTTGAGCATCTACATCCAAACCTCTCATTGCCATACTTTCAGACTATCGCTCTCCAGGCCTTTTGCACCCACTACATTCACTAGAACCCACAATAACCCCCGAGACATAGTAGATGTTATAAGGAGAGCGTGATTTATTGAGATCACTTCCAGCCCGCCATGGCTGAACTCACAAGCACGAAGCTCAATGCGGAGTCGCATCTACTCCTCGTAATGCCTACTCAGATACCCCAGTGTACCCACACTCCATACTAACATGATTGTAGGATCAACCTCTCCTTCGCATGCCGTACGAGCTCTCCCGGCGCAATTTCAAAAACGCCCAGCGCGTCATCGAGCATTCCTCCAGCAACCTTACCACATCGTTAACCGCCGCCACCAAAGCCGCCTCTAAGAACGCCTCTCCAGAAGCCACACTCGATTCCCTCGACTCCATGATAAGTAAGATGCAGGGCCTAAAGCGCAAACTAGAAAACCTCCACGAAGAAGAAACGCGCATCCACCGCTCTGCGAAGGCGCGCTTACAACACCTGCAAGATCTCTACGAAATCCAGAGCCTTGTCGATGTCAAGTACGACGAGTGGTCTCGAACGCGATTAAGTCGTTTGCTCGTTGATTACTTGTTAAGAGAGGGTTATGCGGAAAGTGCGTCGTGTTTGGCAAAGAGCAAAGGGATTACAGAGCTTGTGGATGTAGATGCGTTTGTGGCGTGTCATCGGATCGAAAGGAGTCTGAGAGAGGGCATGAGCACGTCGTTGGCGCTTGAATGGTGCAAGGAACATGGCAAGGAACTCAGGAAGGGGGGTAGCATGTTGGAGTTTGAACTCAGGTTACAGCAGTATATCGAGCTGGTCCGACAGGGACACGAGGCTGGATTGAGCGGGATGGATGGATTAGAGACGCAAGACGACGGTATGAATGGCGTTAGCATTGGGGGTGGAGGCGGAGAAGCAAAGTTGGTTGAGGCAAGGGCTCATGCCAAGAAGTATCTCAGTACGAGCGGGGATTTCGAACTGATGAGGAGGGCAGCGGGCATGTTGGCGTATAGGCCTTGGGATGAAGTGGAACCCTATGCTGTAAGTTTGTCCAAAACAGCATATCGTTCCATATCTAACAACCTTCTAGTCTCTCTACTCGACTTCAAGATGGTCACATCTAGCCGACGTCTTTGTCCAGACACATCACAACCTCTACGCTCTACCTCCACGACCGCTCCTCCACGTCGCCTTGAGCGCTGGTCTCTCCGCTCTTAAGACACCCGCTTGTCATTCCGCCTACACACCCTCTTCCACGAATGCTGCTTCGTCTACTACAACCGTCTGTCCGATATGCAGCACAGAGCTCAACGAGTTAGCGCGCAACGTTCCCTATGCCCTCCACACCAAATCGATTGTCGAAGATGGACCTGTAGTGTTGCCAAACGGTCGCATATATGGCTCCGAGAGGCTGCGCGTCTTCAACGAAAAAGTCGGAACAGAAGAAGGCTTCGTAAGAGATCCGGCTGGCGGACTAAGCGGCGAGAGATGGCATGAGAGCGAGGTCCGAAAGGTTTACGTTATGTGATGGTTTCTCTCTTTCTCTTTCAACGGCATTTGTATGATTATCGGGTATAGCGTGGCGTTTTGGTATATGCATCTACCCAGCGCGGGATGGGTCTGCGTTTTTGGTCCTATCATGTGGTACAGTAGGATCTCAAAGCTTTCGCGGTTGATCAAGTTCAATTACCGCTTTCCGCTTAACCTGCAAACATGTACTCGTCCAACATTGAGAGTGGTGCCTGACAGTGTTCGTATCCGCGATTGCAGGCTCACTCATCGTCGTCTTCCTCTTCCT